TAGGATGTGTATTTTAAAAAAACCTCACTGCCAATGAGTCCATTTCAACTCATAGTGACCCCATAGGGTTCCCAAGACTGTAAACCTTTATAGGAGCAAACAGCCTCGTCTCCTGGGGAGCAGCTGGTAGATTTAAATCACTGGCCTTTTGGTTAGCGTCCCAATGCCTAACCCACAGTGCCACGAGGAGACGTACAGTTAAGGAAAAACTGAAGAGAAGAGAAGAGTGTGTACACACTACTGCTTATCTAAGAAGGGAGAGCACAGATATATATTTGCATACATACAACATCACAACAACAACAAAGAGAACAGAAACCCACTGGGGGGGTGGGGAGAGGGATGAAAGTTAAATCTGAGTAACTTCATTTTGTAGATTTGCCTTTGGAACCATGATTATAAAGCAGCAAAATAAAAACCAGTACTTAAAAAAGCAAAATAAAACCAAAAACACCTCTGTGCATATTGCGTTTGTAGCATAACCACATAGCCAGAAATTATTCCAAGTGGCCTCAACATACAGGATTTGACTGCATGTATATGTCCGGGGTATGGGTGTGGGGTGCGACAAGGACAAAGAGAACCGCCATACAAATCTTACATTATTTTCAGTAATCACTGGTGGTGGTCGTGTTGGTACAGCTATGCTGAGGCTGACTTATATTTATTGTGGGGTATAAAGCTAATGAGTACAAGCATACCTCAGAGGTATTGTGAGTTTGGTTCCAGACCCCCACAATAAAGAGAATATTGAAATTAAGCAAGTCACACAAATTTGTTGGTTTCCCAGTACAAATAAAGCTATGTTTACATTACAGTCTATGAAGTATGTAGTATGTTGTTGGTAAGGTCTGACTCACAGTGACCCTGTATAGGGTTTCCAAGGAGTAGCTGATAGATTTGAGACACTGACCTTGCAGTCAGCAGTCCAGTGCTTATCCTACAGCGCTACACCGGGACTGGAGTCCAGAGAACATCAAGATGCAGTCTCAAAAGCATTAATTGAAACATGAGTCAATAATGCATCTCTACTACCATATCCATCATGATCTGAAATTATAAATAACAGAGTCATCATTCTCACTTCCCAACATCTCATTTTAAAAGCATGTAAGAAAAGCAGAAGATCCAACCTAATTACAGAAATGAGTATGTCCTGACAGTGATGAAACCCACGGAAATCTCTAGTGACAATCAGGTTTGCAGCCCTGACATAGGTCAGGCTGGGAGAGAGAATGTTTCCAGAGATGGCAGACTGCCATCATCCTCCTGGACTAACATGCTTCCTCCTCCACCACAGAAAGCCAGAGGAATGCATCTCATTATCAACAGTGCAAACCCGCAATCTTACAGGCTCAGTTACTTTCATCGAAGGAATTTTGGATTAACATTTTGGTGGCTCTATACCCTGATGGTCCCCATCAACTTCACAAGGACACTAGCTCTTTGTGCTGTATTAGGGTTCTATTTTTAATTTCTCCAGTACATCAGGGAAAAATCTAAAAGAGCTTACTATTTCCAGAAACATGAGAGCATACTGGGCACTAACTTTATTTCGCTTGCTGGTCTCTCCTTCAGTCACTCTTCCTCTTCCCTCACACCTCCAGCGCCATCTCTCCTCCAAACACAGTTACTCAGTACTCCAAACCAACTACATTCCCTAAGGCCTCCACAAACACATTTCCCTCTGCCTACAATGCCCATCCCCTTCCTTCTCTGGCTCCAGAATTCCTACTCATTTTTTAACTACATTGCGAATGAGACTTCTTGAAGCCTTCCCTGGGGTTCTTGCTCCCTCTTCTGGTTTCCTATCACATTTTTATATGTACTTTATGAACAGAATCTATCAGAAGAGCCTCAAGAGAGGCCATACAGTCAAAGTGGTTAAGAGCATGTGGTCTGGAACCAAACTGCTTTGATTCAAATCCTTACTTTGCCACATACTATCTAACTTGTTGCAGTGCTGTGGGTTACTGCACTGAACTACAAGCTCAGTTCAAACCACAAGGTCAGCAGTTCAATCTCACCAGCTGCTCCTCGGAAACCCTATGTGAGTCGAGACTGATGGCACTTAACAACAACAGTAACATCTAACGTAGTGAGTTCCTTACTCCCTTTACGCCTCACTAATTACTCATAAAAAGGGCAAGAGTAACATTACCCTAGCTCATGCCAATCTACGGGGGAGTGTCAAAAAGACCACAGAAAATGGAATTAAAAGATAAGGAATTTTTTCATGAACCTTTTGAAGTCCACTCATATATAAGTCCTGGTGTGGCGCTGTGAGTTAAAGCGCCAGATTGCAGAGCCATTTGAACTGCAAGGTCAGCAGTTCAAGCTTATCAGCTACTCCTCAGAAATCCTATACAGGGTTGCTATGGGTTGGAATCAGCTCGATGGCATTTAACAACAGCAACAACATGTATAAAGCACTCATTTCATTAACATTCCAAGAGATTAATGAAACATGAATATATTCTTACCTTTGAACTTCTAGAGAATAGAAAGAAAGGAAGAAACTTACATAAAAATAAACTATATTTTAAAAACCTTTCAGATTTGTGGTTCTCAGACTTTAATTGGTTAGAATTACCTGGACAGCAGGTTATTTAAATACTTTTGCCTAAAGACTAGCTAAACTGAGAAAACTAGTCCTTACAAATTCTTGTAAACAGACGCTACCCGGGCAACACTGAAGACCAAGTATAATAAGTCAAGTCTCAGGGGTCTACTCTAATGGATGAACAGTCCCAGCCTGGAGCACTCTGCTCTCTGTGTCTCTGTGTCTGTCTCTTTCCCCATACCCCAACCTCCCTGTCTTGATTCATACTTTCCGTAGTACTTACCACTACCTGACACACAAAATCGTTTACTTCTTTATTGTCCTTCTAATAGAATGGATGCTCTTTAGGACGGGCACTTGCCTGTTTTCGTTCACTAATCTGTTCCCAGATAAGAAGCTCACACATTGTTGTTGTTAAGTGAGATCAAGTCAGTTCCAACTCATAGCAACCTGTATAGGGTTTCCGAGGAGCAGCTGGTGGGTTTGAACCACTAACACTGTGGCTAGCAGTCCGGTGCTGATCCTACACTACACCATGGCATACATACTGGAGCTCAAAAGAGGTAATAATCAATCAATCAATGAACAAATGCATGAGAAAATACATGAGCCTGGGTTCTAGCATGGGTTTAATGAGCAATTGGTTCAACAACCTCGAGTGACTTAACTCTGGTCTTCAAATGGGTTCTATCATTAGTTTTAGAAACTATGATATCCCTGACACTTTACAAAAGTAGGACTTGAGCTATGGAAGAATGACATCATCTCCTCTAGGCCAATCAGTTGGAGAGCAGGCAGGCAGGACTAGAAAGGCTTCTCAGAGTCCAAATCCAATGGCTTAACTAAGCTCGTTTATAAACGACATCACTATTTATGAAGCCTGAGTAGCAAACCAGAATTTAAGGATGCAAAAAAAAATTACTGCCTTTGCTCATTAAATCTCTGTGAACAGTAATAAATGTCTGTGGTTGAGGAAGAATGTTCCACAATTAAGAAAGGAAAAACACACCTAGTTTTCAGTAAGAAACTTTGGGACAATTTAATATTCATCCTATGACCAAAAAAATTCAGAATCTTCTGAGAGAGACTAAAATTAAAAGAAGGGTTAGCAAACAAGAGACACTGAAAAACAGCACCAGCTGCTCTCCAGTCTAATCCTTAAGTACAGAATCACAATCCCAAATAAGCTACTAAAGACCGTGGTGGCTTCATCAGATAGTAGAAAATTTATTTTACCATTAACAATTTCAAACTTGACAAGAAGAAAAATGCAAACAACTAAAGGATTTCTAAGGCAAAAAAAAGGATACCACCAACCAGGGGTCCTGGCTGTGATGGTGGTGATGGTGGTAATGTGTTGACTCACAGCAACCCTGTACTGTAAATCTCTGAGGCTGTAAATCTTACAGGAACAGAAAGTCTCATCTTTCTCCCCCAAAGCAACTGGTAGGTCCAAACTGCTGACTTTGTGCTTAGCAGCCCAACCCATAACCCACTACCTTGCCAGGGGTCCTTAACAAGCGTCCCAAACTGTTTGAATGCCAGTTAAAATGCCACTCTCTCAAATTTAGCTCAGTTTAGCCCAGGAGCTGCTGCCAGAGGTGGTTAGAGGAGATGGAAGTTACCATGAGGAAATGCCCAGGCACTTCCTGCGGTGAAATGACAGAATTGGATACGTGATAATATTTCAAATTACTACCTCTAAACTCATAACCACTTGATTGTCAACACTACTTACAAACTCATAATCTCCATCCTGGGGCACTTTCCAATCTGAAGAATTTTTCAACGGGCCAGGTACACTCTTGCCAAAGCTGCTGATCTGATTTTCCTTTTCTTTTTGTTCAAAGTATTCAAGGAAAGATGGTTTTGCAGGCTGCATGGTCTCATCTCTTCCTAAAAACCAGAGCAAATAGAAGATGAAAAGGAAGGTGCATGTTTAGATACATTTATAATAAGTAACTCTCTCTTCAGGCGGGCTATCATCTCTGAACCAGTGGTTCTGTGTGTTACAGAAGGACCCCTTCAAGAAGCTAATGAAAACCTTTCAAGTGTTCATGCAAAATATTTCTCAGAGAATTTCAGAGCATTAGTAGTTTCCCTAAAATCCACACAAAGATCTTGAGTGATGCAGTGACTTTGAATAAGTTGGATATAATATTTTTTGGGTCTCCGAGAGCCAATAGTTTCAGATTGGCAAAATACAAAAGCTTAACACACTCTGATGGAAAGGCTGCAAAAAACGGTACAACGCCTGTGAGGAGGGCTCGACAGTTTCTACATATCAAAAGATGAAATGTGGGAAGGCACAGAAGAATTCTGTGATGTTATATTTTAACTACAACTATTAAAACAGGGTCATAATTAAAAAGACACACACACACGAAGTCCTGGTGTGGTGCTGCAGGATAAGCACTGGACTGCTGACTGCAAGTCAGCACTTCAAACCCACACACCATTCCTCGGAAACAGAGTTGCTATGAGTCAGAACCAATTCAGTGGCATTTAGCAACAATACACACACATATGAGGGGCTTCAAAAAGCCTGAGGGTTGACATGGACAGGCAATCTAGACATTGGCTATCAAAATTGGGGGCTAGGTAGAGAACAAACAAGATGGCGGATCGGGTGGAAGTGCAGTAAAGGAGCTCCACCAACAACAACACAAAATACCCGACCAAGCAGGCTCAGGGGCTGATCCCAGAACTCTGAACCACATATATAGGAATATTTAGAAGGTTGGAAGGCTCACAGCTGGGGGAATTTGTGGCAGAAGCAAGAAATCTATTGCTTTCTAATTCGAGATCCTCAGCTGCTCCAGGAGCCGCCATCTTGGTTAAGACCAAGCAGGGGAAAGATCGGAGCAGCCACAGACGCCTGACAGAACTGCAGAGATAAAGGTGTGGACATTCTTCTCTTTTAGTAACTGTGCATTGGTCCCTTGCTGTCCACGGACCTCCATTCGGGTGACTATAGGGGTGCTTGAGCTAGTGGGCACCCCAGCCCCACCCTCGGAGGGTTCTACTACGCATGCACACAGATCTCCTCGAAATTTAAAGAGACAGTGTCAAATTAAAACCAAACGGCCACAGCCGGCCCTGAACTGTTTCCAACTAGAAAAAAGGCCTGAACGGGGATTGTGGAGTGGGACAAGCAGACAAAAGCGGAAATAGGCCGAAAATTAAATCCTAAGTTACGTCAAAACGACCAAGAGTGTTATCTTGAAACTTCTCAGGAAGAAGAGTGAAAAGGGAAGCCCATTTCCTGATCACATCTACCTGGAGGCATTCAGAAAGCATAAAAAATACCAAAATACATACCCATCTGAGTATTAAGGCCACAGATAACCCCTGAAGATGCCCAAAAAACAGAAGCAGACAACCATATCTGCACATGTCCAGAAACGAGATAAAGTGACTGAGGCAAATGAGTTGGAAGTAGACCTACACTCCATACTGGAAGATGGGCAGACTTTGGAAATGCCTGAGAAAAGAATTCAGAAAAATGATTATAAAATGTATCAAAACACTATACAATGGAATTGAGAAAAATAAGGAAGAAGTCAGGAAAGTGCTACAGAAACAATCAAATAAGATAGATAGAGCACTGGAAACAATTCAAAACCTACAGAAAGAGGTCCAAACGATTAATAATAGAATGTCAGAAATGGACAAGACATTGAAAGGGCAAAGGAATAGAATTGAAGAGATAGAAGCTAGAACTAGTGAGCTAGAAGATAAATCTCTCAACACTACTAAGATAGAAGAACAAACACAAAAAATGATAAAGAAATCTGAAGAAGGCCTAAGATTCATGTTGGATAACATGAAGAGGAATAACATAAGAATTATTGGCATTCCAGAACAGGAACAATTACACAAATCCACAGAGGAGATAGTTGAAGAGCTTCTGGAAGAAAATTTTCCTAACATCATGAAAAGTGAAAAGATAAGCATTCAAGAAACTCAACGAACCCCAGGATGGATAGACTCTAAAAGACAATCACCAAGACATATAATAATCAAGCTCTCCAAAATCAAAGATAAAGACAGCATCTTGAAAGCAGCTAGAGAAAAGAGAAATATAACATACAAAGGCAAGCAAATCAGATTAAGCTCAGATTTCTCAACAGAAACCATGCAGGCAAGAAGGCAATGGGGAGACATATATAAAACCCTGAAAGAAAAAAACTGCCACCCAAGAATCCTCTACCCAGCAAAGCTGTCAATCAAATACGATGGTGTAATCAGAACATTCCAGGATAAACAGAAGTTAAGGGATTTTGCCAAAGCCAACCCTGCTATGAAAAACATCCTAAAGGAAGCTCTGTGGACTGAGAACCAACAAGAACAGACAACTACAGAATGACGTACATGGCAGCATCAACCTGTGTGGGACCCTAAGAAGAAAACTCCATTTTCTACTTAGGCTAAAGCATGTCTCCCTGTTTCAGGAATGTGCCTGGTCAGTTAGTACCAGACGGAGATGACCCCCTTCCCCTACGAGCCATAAAAGTAGAGATAAACTCTCCTGACAAACCCAAGGCTAGATAATGTATGTCTTCCTGACCCTAATTAAACTGTCCTAGCGTAACAAACATCTTCCTTATCCTAATGAAGCTATCCTAGCTAGAGGTAGTGGCCAATCGAATTGTGTAATCTCGTACCTTACCCAGCGTAAACCAATCCTAGAGAAGTTAGGTAGAAGACCCCCGAATCTGTTTGTAAAAATCTATAAAAACCCTGCTACCAGGGAGCTTGGGGCTCTATCCCTATTCCGCTGCGTCCGTCCGGATAAGGTTAGAGACTGGCTCAAGCTTGAATAAACAACCCTTGTGCTCCTGCATCGGTTTCGGCATCGACTCCTCGGGTGGTTTTTGGAAACCCTGAACTCTGGGCATATCACCTGAACTCAGTCGAAAAATTGAAAAGTCAAGAACAGAATAAAATTATAAGCACAGAGGATCTGGGAGGTCAGTCTATGATCAAAACAATTACAATGTGAAAAAAGGTATACACAGAGGAACAGAGATCCAGGGGATGGGAAGGTCAGGTAGATTACTGGATAAAATAGACTATCTTAAATGGAGGGTAGAAATAATGGAATATAAGGTAACCACAATGGTGTTGGGGTGGGGAGTTTACTTTGGGTGTTGGGGAGGGCAATACAAGAAGTGGGGAGGAGGCAGAAGAACAAGATAGATAGGGGAACATTGAGACAAGTTTGCATGGCCTAGTGGGACAGAAGTAAACAGTGATGCATACTCAACCTTGGAACAACAGGGCTCTGGGATACTGGGATTTAGGTATAGCTTGAAGAGGGTAAATAATACTAAAATCCTTGACTGCCTTATGAATATTAGTTTCCCTTGCCTACTATTGTAAAACAGACACTTGAGTTGGATAGAAAGGAATCTTGGGAAACATGATTAGAGAAAACTTGTAAGCCCGCCTTCAGCCTATAACTGATTGGAATACCTAAAAGGAGTTCTACAACTTGCCCAGTGACATAGGCCACATGCAAAGCCTTTACAGAGTATAGGAC